TACATATTTGTATATATGCATATATATGTTTATTTTTAAATGTATATATATTTATATACTATATATATATATACACATACATACATACATACATACTGGTGCATATATTTACATATGTATGTACATATGATGATCGCAGGATCATCTCTGGGGCAAACATGTGCGTGTCGCCGCACCATCAACCCTTCCATGGGTTGAAATTCTCTGTTAGCCATCGCAAAAAGAATCAGAAAAATTGGGCTGTGAAGGGGCGGCACTCCCCTTTCTGATCGCACTGGTCGTGCCAGATACCCATCCATGGGCGTAACCTGTTGTCTCGGTTGGCCATCGCAAAAAACAGAAAGGGGCTGTGAAGGAGCAGCAATCCACTTTCTGAAGGCACCGGTCGTGCCAGATCCCCATCCCTAGGGGTAACCTGTTGTCTCGGTTGGCCATCGCAAAGAAATCAGTGGTTCCTCTGGCCCTGTTGGTTCCTCTTGGCCAGTTGGATCCGCTGGCCCTGTTGGTTCCTCTTGGCCGGTTGGTTCCTCTGGTCCTGCTGGTTCCTCTGGCCCTGTTGGTTCCTCTTGGCCGGTTGGTTCCTCGGGACAGATACCCATCGATGGGGGTAACCTGTTGTCTCGGTTGACCATCGCAAAAAAACTGAAAGGGGCTGTGAAGGAGCAGCAATCCACTTTCTGAAGGCACTGGTCGTGCCAGATACCCATCCATGGGGGTAACCTGTTTTCTCGGTTTGCCATCGCAAAGAAAACAGTGGTTCCTCTTGCCCTGGTGGTCCCTGGAAGTCCTGGTTCCACCTTGCCTGATGGTTGGGTTCTCCTCTTATCTCTTTCTGCAGGTGTTCTTGGAGCTGTGGAAGCTGGATCTTTGATTGGGAGGTTCCTGCTGTCCCCGTGTTCCTGCCTTGTGCTGAGCCAGCCCCAAACAGGAGTCCCCACCTGCACCCAGTCCACGACTGTTCGACCCCTTCCATTCCCCTGTACCTATTGGCTGCTGCTGGTTCCTCTGGCCCTGTTGGTCCTGGTTCCACCCGGCCTGCTGATAGATATTCTCCTCTTATCTCTTTCTGCAGGAGTTCCTGGAGCTGTGGAAGCTGGATCTTTGATTGGGAGGTTCCTGCTGTCCCCGTGTTCCTGTTCTGTGCTGAGCCGGCCCCAAACAGGAGTCCCCACCTATATCCAGTCCGCAGGCCCCCACGACTGCTCGACCCCTCCCATCCCCCTGTACCCTTCTGCTGCTGTTTGTTCATCTGGCCCTGTTGGTTCCTTTTTGTGTGTTGCTTCCTCGGACACTGTTGGTTCCTCGTGCCAGATACCCTTCACTGGGTTTAACCTGTTCTCTTCCGTGGACAAGGAGGGAGGACCTGAGGCCCTGCTGGTTCCTCTGGTCCTGCTGGTTCCTCTGGTTCATCTTAACCCAGCAGCTGGACGCAGCAACTTGCTGGTTGCAGTCCGTTGAGGCTACGGGCAAGCAGTGGCTGATGAACACGTTGGTTCGGAGGCAGTTCGTGGAGGGGCTCCCGTCTACCAGGTCAGACTGGGTGCGGTGCCACCGACTGGCAAATCTGGCGGCTGAGATCACTCTGGCTGAAGACCACCCGCCCGTTGTTTCCAAACGCCGGGTGCTGAGCCAGAGTGGTCAGCCTGACAGGTGGCGACTCCCGTTTGGGAGCCGGCCCCCAAACGGGAATCCCCACCTGCATCCAGTCCGCAGGCCCCCACGAATGCTCGACCCCTCCCATCTCCCTGTACCCTTCTGCTGCTGTTTGTTCCTCTGGCCCTGTTGGTTCCTTTTTGCCTGCTGGTTCCTCGGGCACCGTTGGTTCCTCGTGCCAGATACCCTTCCCTGGGTTTAACCTTATGTCTCGGTATTCCATCGCAGAAAGATTCAGAAATCAGGGGCTTTGAACGGACGGCACTCCCCTCTCGGAAGGCACTGGTCGTTCCAGATACCCATCCCTGGGTGAAACCTGTTTCCTCGGTTGGCCATCGCAAAGAAATCAGTGGTTCCTCTGGCTCTGTTTGTTCCTCTGGTCCTGCTGGTTCCTCTGGTTCGTCTTAACCCAGCAGCTGAAGGATGCGGCGACCTGCTGGTTGCAGCCCGTCGAGGCTACGGATGAGCAGCGGCTCACGGACACGTTGGTCTTGCAGCAGTTCGTGGAGGGGCTCCCGTGTACCAGGTCAGACTGGGTGCGGTGTGACCGTTTGGCAAATCTGGCGGCTGCGATCACTCTGCAGAAGACCACCCCCCGATCACTTCGGACGCCGGGTGCTGAGCCAGAGTGGTCACCCCGATCGACGCCAAACGGGAGCCGCAACCTGCACCCAGTCCGCGGGCCCCGGCGACTGCTCGACCCCTTCCATCCCCCTGTACCCGTCTGCTGGTGTTCGTTCCTCTGGACCTGTTCGTTCCTTTTTGCCTGCTGGTTACTCGGGCACCGTTGGTTGACGAGGACGTCAGCCGGCAGTAGTAAAGGTCCTTTAAATATTCCTTCCTTTCCCCTTTTCGGCCCTTTCTCTAAACTTTCCCCCACGTACGCGACGCTGAGGGTCCGTACCACCGGTGAGGGCACGTGCTAGTAACCTCTGCCCTCCACTATCCTCTCCTTTCACCTCTACCCTTTCCTACTCTCCCCGAAAGTATTCCAAAAGACTGATCCGGATCGTGGACTGGCCAAGAGGCGATCGTTTCCGTGCGGAAAGGTCGAGTGGGAATTTTTCCCTTCACATAGAAAAGAAGGGTTTTCGCCCACTCCTGTCCTCGACCACTGTTGTGTTGTTTATTGTGACGAGTAGTTGCTAAATTCTCTGTTAGAGACCGTTTCTACTCTGATGTACGGTCCCCTATGTTAAGTTAACAGAAGGTTCCCAAAACTCACAATTTAAATATATAAATATATTTATATATATAAACATAAAGGTGTATATATATATATATATATATATATACATACATATTTGTGTATGTATATATACACACAATATACAGGACTGTCTCAGAAAATTAAAAAACAAAAAATTATAACAGCAAAACAAAATCAAACATTTGAAAATGTCCAGTAATGCACTCATTTCTTGGTTGGGAATCCTTTTGCACAGATTACTGCATCAGTGCGGCGTGGCATGGTGGCAATCAGCCTGTCGCATTGCTGAGGTGTTATGGATGCCCAGGATGCTTTAATAGCGGCCTTTAGCTCATTTGCATTGTTGGGTCTGGTGTCTTTCAGCTTCTTCTTCACAATACCCCACAAATTCTCTATGGGGTTCAGGTCAGGGGAATTGGCAGGCCAATCAAGGACAGTAATGCCATGGTCAGTACACCAGTTAATGGTGGTTTTGGCACTGTGGCCAGGTGCCAGATCATGCTGGAAAATGAAATCATCATCTCCATAGAGCTTTTCAGCAGATGGAAGCATGTAGTGCTCTAAAATCTCTTGGTACACAGCTGCATTTACTCTGGACTTGATGAAACACAGTGGACCAACACCAGCAGCTGACATGGCTCCCCAAACCATCGCTGACTGTGGGAACTTCACACTGGATTTCAAGCAACTTGTATTTTGCGCCTCTCCAGCCTTTCTCCAGACTCTGGCGCCTTGACTACCAAATGACATACAAAACTTGCTTTCGTCTGAAAAGAGGACTTTGGACCACTCTGCAACTGTCCAGCGCTTCTTTTCCATAGCCCAAGTCAGACGCTTCTTCCGTTGTCTTGAGTTCAGAAGTGGTTTGACCATGGGAATACGGCTATTGTAGCCCATTTCCCGGACACGTCTGTGAACAGTGGCTTTTGATACCTGGACTCCAACTTCAAGCTCCCCCAAATTCTGGAAGCAGCTCCTCTTCACAATGCTGTTAAGGCTGCGGTCACCTCTCTTGGTTGTGCAGCGTTTCCTGCCACATTTCCCCCTTCCAACACACTTTTTGTGAATGTGCTTTGAAACTGCAATCTGTGAACAGCCTGCTCTTTGAGAAATTTATTTTTGTGCCTTACCCTCCTGATGGAGGGTGTCAATGATGGTCTTCTGGACAGCAGTCAGATCAGCAGTCTTCCCCATACTTGTGATTTAGTTTGCTGAAACAAGCTGAGTGTTTTTCAAGGCTCAGGAAAGCCTTGCAGGTGTTTCGAGTTAATTAGACGATTCAAGTGATTAGTTGAATAGCCTACTAGTATACTTTTTCACGATATTCTAATATTTTGAGATAGGATATTTGGGTTTCTTAAGCTGTAAGCCATAATCAGCGATATTAAAACAATAAAAGGCTTGCGATATTTCAGTTGATTTATAATGAATCCAGAATGTATGACATTTCATGTTTTTTAATTGCATTACAGAAAATAAAGAACTTTATCACATTATTCTAATTTTCTGACACAGTCCTGTATATGTGTAAATATATACAGATACATTTACTTATCTATGTATAGATATAGATATATATATTTGTAAATAATTTACACATATACAAATCTATATAAATACAGTAATCCCTCGTTTATCGGTTACGTTCCGAAAATGACCCGCGATAAGTGAAATCCGCGAAATAGAAAACTTTTTTTTTTTTTACAATTAGCAACTATTACATGTATACAAATACAGTGACTCACGTGTAGGCCGTTTCACTGCTCTTCAGACTGGGCCGCTGCATCCTGACTGCGCTCTGCAGTGTTCTCTTCTTCTGAAGCCCGCGGTGCAGGTGTGTTTGTTCGGGACTTAATGTAAATTTGCTAAGCTGTTTTATGTACGTACACATAACTGCACGAGACGACAAAATGATAGCACAATTCGTAGCATGTTTTGATACAAGCGGGAGTGAGTTTTTAGCGAATCAGAATGCAGAGCACAATGCACCAAAAAAAAAAAAAAGCATTATGAAAATCCGCGAAAATCCGCGAAATAGCGAATCCGCGATAACCCGCGAAGTGGCGAGGGATCACTGTATATACATACATGAAAATCCTTTGCTGGTGACGCCTGTGAAATGACAGATGTCTGGGGGTTAGTCCATCTCAGGTTGAGGCTCTGAGAGCAGGACCTGATTGGACAGAATCAGGAAGAGACTCAGAGCAGAATTAAATCAGCAGAAAGTGAAACTATTCTTTATATAAAACATCAAGACATCAGCAGCTCACCGTCCTGTCAAAGACAAACATGGCTAGCAGCTAGGTTAGAAATTGCATTCGTGTCAATTAAAGCTATTTTTTAAATATATATAAACATGTATATACACCCACACGTTTATGTCTGTATTTAAACGTCTATGTAGGTACATATGTATTAATACTGTATATAAATATATATATTCGTGTATATTTATGTATATATATACATATTTGTATACATGCTTATGTTTACATTTAAATATATATGTATGCATGCATACATGTAAATATATCCATATGTATATGTATGTTTATTTACTATATATATATATATACAGGTGCATATATTTACGTATGTATGTATATAGATATGTATGAGTAAATATATTTAGATGTTTATAGACATAAAGGTATATATATATATATAAAAATCTATATGTACATACATATATATATTTGTGTATGTATATATACACACACAATATATAAGCATATATATACACACATTTAGGTTATAAATTGCTAAACTTTTACATACAAACACATTTATGTATGTCTATGTAGGTACATATGTATTAAAATATCTGTATATATACATTTGTATATGTACATATATATATATATAGATATATATATTTGTAAATAATTTACAGATATATATACACACAAATCTATATAAATATATACATACATGAAAATCGTCTGCTGGTGACGCCTGTGAAATGACAGATGTCTGGGGGTTGGTCCATCTCAGGTTGAGGCTCTGAGAGCAGGACCTGATTGGACA